TCAAACCATAATATGATTTTATTGAGTCTCTGTGCAACAAAAAATCGAATAAACAATTATATTTCGAATTTCAATAAATTTTGTCTAGCGTTTACATAAATTTTACAGTTGAATAGCCAAAATGACATGTTTCAGTATTTTAAATGTGATTAATCGCGATTAATATTTTTCAAAAGTGCGATTAAGTAGTTACATTTTTTTTATTGAATGACAGCACTAGTTAGAATCCTTGTGAAATACAGCCATACTTTAGAACGCTTAGTTTAAGCAAATTTGATGAACGCTGCGATCATGAGTGTTGAATCTGAAGGGAGTCGCTTTGCCTGCCCTGTCCTGCACGCGGTGTGCGTTTCTGTGCGCACACACGCGTGTTTCTTAGCAACAAACCTGCATAATTGTCTGTATCAACTAAATCAAAAAGTTTGGGTTGCATTGCACTTTCAGCTCACAACATGCAAAAGAAAAGGTCCACATTCTCCCCCGATAATGTCACCATACTGGATTGTTTTAGCAAATGTCTGAATGTAAATTAGGACTAAGCAAAATTGTTTCTACTTTAACATTCTCAACTCACAGCAATACAACTTTACAATGAGTGCAATTGTTTGTATTCAATACTATGTTATTATAGTTTTCCATATCTGTAATGCCTGTATTTTGGCTTTTTATTTCAGTACACTTAGAATCCAACTTGGAAATCATTTTTTTCTTTATTGGCATTGATTGTTTTGAAATTCAAATGTCATTAACATGCCTGTGTTTTTATTTCTGTAATAAGTATGGCTGTCAAGCCAGGATCTTGATGGTTTATTGTGGGTATGTTGTTTACATGAAGAAATCTGTTACAAGTTGAACAAAAATTCTAATAAACAATTATATTTTGAATTGAAATAGTTTTTGTCTTGCGTTTACATTAATTTTACATTTGAATAGCCAAAATTACAAATTTCAGTCTTTTAATGTGATTAAAAAGTGTGATTGATTAGTTAGTTTATTTAATCGATAGACAGCACTAGTATATTTATATTTATATATATAAGCAATATCACACTCGTAGCATGGCGATATGGCTGTATATCGGCACTGGGGGGAGGTGTGCGATGGCACGAGGCCGCAGGCCACATATATACAATGTGGACCTTTTCTTTTGTATGTTGTGAGCTGAAAGTGCAATGCAACGCAATCTTTTTGATTTAGTTGCTACAGACGTTTATGCAGGTTTGTTGCTAAGAAACACATGCGTGTGTGCGCACAGACACACAGACAGACGCATACACCGCGTGCAGGACAGGGCAGGCAAAGCGACTCCCTTCAGATTCAACACGCATGATCGCAGCGTTCATCAAATTTGCTTAAACTAAGCGTTCTAAAGTATGGCTGTATTTCACAAGGATTCTAACTAGTGCTGTCAATCAATAAAAAAATGTAACTAATTAATCGCACTTTAAAAAAATATTAATCGCGATTAATCACATTTAAAATACTGATACTCTGTCCTTGACAGAGACAGAATTGACATTGCACCAGTAATAAATATGGCATGTGACGTTTCTGTAATAAATATGGCTGTCAAGCCATGATCTTGATGGTTTATTGTGGTATGTTCTTTACATGAAGAAATCTGTCACAAGTTAAACAAAAGTTCTATTAAACAATTATATTTTGAATTTAAATATTTTTTGTCTTGCGTTTACATTAATTTTATATTTGAATGGCCAAAATTACAAGTTTCAGTTATTTAAATGCGATTAATCGTGATTACATTTTAAAAAAGTGTGATTAATTAGTTATTTTTTTTAATCGATTGACAGCACTAATATATATATATATATATATATATATATATATATATATATATATATATATGTATATGTATGTGTGTGTGTGTGTAGGCACTGTTTACATTTAATTCAAAGGTCAAGCTCAATGCCTACACTTTGCGTTTACATAGTAGCCTGAGTTTGCTGTTCTATCAACTCAAATGGTTGTAATAATGGTAATAAAGGTGAGGTTTTATAAAATGAAGATTCAGTTGCGCCAACTTCGGGCCGCAGCGCACATAATCACAGGCCAATTCTGGCTCGGATACGGCAGCGTCGGCTCGCTAACGGCCACCGCATCTGGACCCGATTGACTCGGGCAGCAAAGTAGACTACTGTCAGAGTCGAGGTAAGTCTCTGGCAGGCGACAATCTAGCCGGAACTGGCCCGAGTGTATTTTGCTATCTGGTTAGGCGTGTATCAGTAAACAATAAACGATGAAATTCCCATCATTAAATTACTGCTAAAAACAAACTCTTTACAAAATTAAAGATCTGCACCTATATCAGCACGATAATCAGTGCTTTAATTGATCAAAACCATCTTTCGGGACTACTCTGGATTATTTGGGCTAAAGTCTCATTTATTAACACGGAAGAGGCAGCCAGCCCACAGGGTGGGATCTAACGACCGGGATCTTTACTCAAACGCAGGCTTGTGGTACTTTTGCATTTAACACACACGATAATGTGTGTGTGCAGGCTGGCAATGGCGTGATGTGTGATTGTCCAACTGTGTGATGTGGACTATTGCTGTGTTTGTAGATTGTCTGGCTGTATGGTGACAGAGGAAGGCTGTGGTTTTCTGTCTTCAGCTCTGACTTCAAACCCCTCACACCTGAGAGAGCTGGATCTGAGCTACAATCATCCAGGAGATTCAGGAGTCAAGCTGCTCTCTGAACAACTGGAGGATCCAAACTACACACTGGACAAACTCAAGTATGTGGAGCATCACTGGCCTTGTGCTTTTACACTGAATGGCTTTAAAAAGACACTAGAAAGCTCTTTTGTGATCAGCTTCAGTTTTCTGTGAGGGTTATGGGGTGAGGACAGACAGAAGATACAGCTTGTAGAGTATTCCAGTCATGTCTATGAAGAGCAAATCATTGAGTGTGAAATGAATCTCCTCTGTAAATGTTGGAGTGTATTGGCTCAGTTACAGTGACATTAAGCGGGACACACTGTACAGTTTCAGCATTTGAGCTGAGCAGAGAAACTTCTTCCTCCATTTCTGCTGAAGAGTCCTACAATATCAGGTCAGGAATAGGGTTGGGGATTGAAGATGGATTCAGATTCTGGAATCAGACACTTGGATTAATGTTCAGACTCTTGTTCTAAAATCAACATCTGGATTCCTCTTCTCTGTGCACACGTGTATTTTTCACTTGCTAATCTGTCAGGAACTTGGGCGCTGGCGAGCAGCTTTAATAATCTGAACATAGTTTAGAGATGGACTGCAACATGTGCTCAAAGGCTGCATGTGCTGAAGAACGATGGCAAAGCTAAGTGTGATCACTGTCTAGGGGTTTAACCCACGTTTTAAGATTGATCAGGAATTAATTAGCTCATTTCAATGAATCGGATCCTAAAGATTCGAATCATTGATTCGACTCAATTGAGTCAGACTGAATCAGATTAAAAGATTCACACTTTATCTACAATTTGTCCCGCAAACAGAAGACGTATCTTACCAATCTTGTTAATATTATTTACGTGGCCAACGATAATAACATAACACAGTATTGGGTTAACTTTTAGCAAGGTAACAAGATCTACAGCTCGAGGCAATGACTTAGAAGCACATAAACAAGAACACAGTTCTTAAAAAATGAGAACAAAGATTTATTGAGCTACACTACGATACATGAAACTAACTATGTAATAAACAAACAACAAACAAACACACACACACACACACACACACACACACACACACACACACACAAAGGCAGTTCATGCTCATGAATGGCTGTTGTCCTGGGTCACCACCGAGTGACAGACTGCTGAAAGTCAGTTTGTGGAAGTTCGTGCAGCTTCGGCGATCCTAAAACTTAAAAGAAGTTTGTGGTGACCCAATCGGGCAGGTGAGAGGGGGCAGAGAGCAAAAGCATGCGCAAGCCAGCTAATGCAAAAAGCAAAGTTTCTTTGTTGCAGGGAGTTTAAAGTGACCTGGTTCGGTCTGCCCCCATGGCACTGTCTGCCAATGAGCAGTTGCAACGAAGGGCGGGGCCACGCCCCATACTGACATAGGAAGGTTCAATCATTAACAGACTGCATATTGATTTCATATGGAAGAACTCTTGCAAGATTGAAATGATCTTACATCAAATGTTACAAGATGAATACTGTTTGTACTACTAGTTTTTCATTTACACCAAAAGATTGCAAATGTTACTAGCTTTCATTCAATACCAGACATACATTTTAGACACATACAGATCATTTTAATCTGCTTTAAGGGTTAAAACAACACATTGTTTAACCTGGTTGGTTGGAATAAACAGCATATGAGGAACATTATGGCATATTATTCAAAGATACATCTGCCTTAGTTCTAACATTTTAAGAGATTGTCTTGCATTCACATGCATTCATTTCTCTTTGTCTCTACAAAATTGTCATCTGGCAGGATGTACCACATTACTAACGCATGACTGGGAGTCATTCAAAAGTCTCGTGAGGCGGTTTACGCTGAAAATCCTTTAAAGCCCCTTTGTTCAATTTAAATCGTTTACTAATTTCGCTGAAGGGTACTTGGAACAACTGTGGCCGAAGTGCTGGTCAGAGTAGCCCAAAATCAATTAGTGCTTTGTTATCATGATGGTTTAAGCCCTCAAGCTGGTTCAATGACTACAGACAATTTGGCTACCAGTTTCCGAGCCTTATTCGAACTGGTTTTGAGATCTGCAACATCCTTTGCATAGAGTTCCAACAACTGTAATAAATGAATATTGCAGCAGGGTGTCTCCATCAACATGAGCAGTATCTGTGCTCGCTTCACCAACAGCAGAGGAAAAGAACGCACTGTGTTACATTCATTGTGCATCCTGGCTGAACCAACAAGTGTTGTGTGTTTTAGCTGAAGAGTTTGGAGCGTGTAGCTGAGCAGCTCAGTGCTAGCTTTAGCCTATTAGCTGAGGGGGAAACTAAACAGCTCATTCTCTCCATCTGTGTGTGTTTACAGTCTGGATCATGGAGGACACACGAGGATTACAGCAGGACCACGCAAATGTAGGACTACACACACACATACACACACACAAACACACTCTCTCTCTCTCTCTCTCTCAATCACACACACACACACACACACTCTCTCTCTTTCACCCACACACACACTCTGTCTCTCTCAATCACACACACACTCTCTCTCACACACACACACACACTTTCTTTCTCCCACACACAAACACACATACACTCTCTCTCTATCTCTCTCTCTCACACACACACACACACACACACACACACACACACACACACACACACACACAGAGCTGTGGTTATACATGTGTGTGTTCTTGTGTTCAGATGCCTGTTTCCTCACTCTGGATCCAAACACGACATACGCTTTTCTCATTCTGTCTGAGGAGAACAGAGAGGTGAAGCGTGTGAGAGAGTATCAGCGGTATCCTGATCATCCAGACAGATTTGATGATGATCCTCAGGTGTTGTGCAGAGAGAGTGTGTGTGGACGCTGTTATTGGGAGATTGACTGGAGTGGAGATGATGTGTGGATATCAGTGTCATATAAGAGCATCAGGAGGAAGGGAGTAGATCCTGAGTATTTGTTCGGATGTAATGCTCAGTCCTGGAGTTTGCGCTGCTCTTCCTCCAGTTATATATTTTGGCAAAATGACACACGCACTGATCTCCCAGTGAAACCGCTCAGCAGGAGAATAGGAGTGTTTGTGGATCACAGTGCAGGAACTCTGATCTTCTACAACATCTATAGAGACACAATGAGCCTCATCCACTCAGTCCAGACCACATTCACTGAGCCGCTCTATCCTGGGTTTACTATTTGGTGTCAATCATCAGTCAAACTGTGCTGAAGACTGAGAAGGAGCAGTCAGTAGCAGTGTGTGTGTGTGTGTGTGTGAGAGAGAGAGAGAGTGTTTGTTTGTGTATGTGTGAAAGAGCATGTGTGTGCGAGTGTGTGTGTGTGTTTGAGTGTGTGCATGAGTGTATGTTTGTCTGTGTGGGATTTTTTTTTCTACAAAAATACTTTCTTACATCATTTTTTTTTTGACACATTGTAACTCCACATCAGATGTAACAGCAGCTCTCCTACCTCCACACTGCAGACAGCGTCCTTATAACAGCACTGTTGTTCAAAGGTTTCAGCATCATTTATGGCCTTGTAATACTTTAAATCTATTTTAATTCTGGACCTGACGAACGCTTTAAAACTCTCAATCTCTTGACCATGTACATCAGGGGTGTCAAACTCAATTCCTGGAGGGCCGAAGCCCTGTACAGTTTAGTTCCAACCCTGCTCCAACACACTTACCTGTAGGTTTTAAACAAGCCTGAAGGACTCAATTAGTTTGATCAGGTGTGTTTAATTAGGGTTGGAACTAAACTGTGCAGAGCTGCGGCCCTTTTGCAACTGAGTTTGACACCTGTGATGTACATCATCTATTTAGTTTCTTCTTGTGATAAGTAGAGCAAGTTTTGCTTGAGCAACTAAACAGTGAATGAACTGCTATTTCAGTTTGTGTTTCTGACTATAGCCAACTCCAGAAGAAACTTACATTGAGTCAAATTCTCTCCACATTTCAGGAAAACTCTGCTCAACATATCAAACTATTGTGTTAAACGTGTACAGTCTCTCTATGTCCACAGAAGAGACACTCGTCATGGACACTATAGAGTGAACAACACGTATGAAATCATTCACTGCCACAATCCCCTGCAGAATCCTCCATTGTAAATCCCCAACACATTTTGTCAAAGTTGGTTTATACAAAACTCTCCACACTGGTTTTCCCCCTAAAGTATCATGAAATGTCCGTTATTTCTGTTAATCTGCCTTTGTCACCTCTCTGATCCGTAATAATAATAATAATAATCATAATATTAGACATTTGTTTGGACATGATGTGCTCTCTTCAACAAGCAGCTTTTCTCTTCATTCTGCAGGCTGTTCGCTCTGGCAGTTGGTCAGATATTTGTAAGCAAGCCTATAATAAAAAGCAGAGTTATTCTGCAGTCAGGTGATGTGCTCCATCAGGCACAACAATCTTGATAGTATCTTGTAGTGTGCTGTGCCGCAGTTTTCATATCTTGTAGTAACATATTTTTAAAAGTGTACTGATTATATTTTTAAATTTAGCCTACATAATTAGGCACAATTTAAACTTTCAAAACATCATGTTTTTCCCACCTCGGGCATTAAAGCCTTTATATTATTTTCTCTTTTATTCTTAATTGGGCAGCCATTATTCTCAACCCTGTAATAGACTAAACTGAGTTGGTAATAGTATTTTACAAAGCTTTTGCTATAACACCAACATTTCCCTGTTGCTCATATGTCCCTCAAATCAGTTTAATGGCTAAAACATCACATTTTTAATGAGTTTTAGATTCATATGTGATTTAAGTTACAATTATACATACTTGTGCATTCTGTGGTCTCTTAATTTTTTAAAAAGTTTTACATTTAGATGTCTTACCCCACCCACATAATTACAATGTTAGGCCTTAACATGCTGGTTGGTTCTCAGCAATATTTTTTTCTATATTTAATTGTTTTCCTTTAAAAATATGAATCTCACAGGGTGGAGAATACAGTGACGGGTTTAAGACCATAACAGGGTTAAGAGGACACTTAAATTTCAGTTTTAATTTGTTTTAGTTCATTTGAAATTACATCTAACACTTACTTAACATTTATTTTAGTAAAACATTTAGCAAAGGCATTAATGAGATAAAGGCAAACCGGGATGAAATGAAACTTCATTAAACCAAACCACAGTCAGAATTCAAAAAATTGAAGTGCTGCAGGTAACTGGACTGTTAGTAACCTTTAAAAATGCTGATAAAGGCCTGTGTTACCCAATCTATTGCTGAACAGAACCTACAGTAAACAGAAGCAACAGGTAAAGTCTTGTCTAAAACTTTATTTCCTGGAACATAAATAAAAACTGCAGCAGAAAAGTTCTTGATGAAATTATTAATGAAAATACTTAATAATATTAATTAAAAATAAAATTATATAGCCAGATAGGCTGATCTGCTTATTTCAGAAACTGCTGATCTATTGGGATTTTCACACACAACAATCTTTAGGAGAGAAAATTATATAGTGAGCAACAGTAACTGAAATAACCACTCGTTACAACTGAGGACTGCAGAGGAGCATCTCTGAACACACAAAACCACACTTCCAACCCTGAGGTGGATGGGCAGCAGGAGGGGATTCAATCAGGGATTCCAAAACCTTTTGTTTGCCTAACCCTCTGTATCTATAATATTAATACGAGTTATGCCCTCAATGACCCCCTCTCTAAAGTTGGGTAATTGTCACATGACATAGAGATAAACAAATGAACTAATACATAATTTAAGTATTTTTTTGTTCTGATTTTATTAGCTTTACATAAACTCATGATGAAACTCGTGACACTCAATATAAAATCTGCTGCTGGTACGGGTGCCGTGTTTGACATTAAATAGTGTCAAAGTTTAAGTAAAACACAGCTTCAAATATTCTATCAGTAACAATTTTTAAAAAAAATGTTTTTAATGAATATTCCTGATTAATTAGGTCAATATACCCAAAACAATGACATGTGTGATGGGGTTGAGTTTTTAAAGCAGAATGTCCTCTGCTCCTTGTGTGGTTTAAAAGAGAATGCCCACATGGCAGCAATTAAACAAGAATATGTTATATTGTTTGGAAATAAAAAAAACAATCATATTCCATCTTAGTTTTACGTTACGGGGTTGAATTGTTAAGCTTGACCGCATCCTTCCTAACTATAATAAAATCAAAAAATGTAAATAAATGAAAATATAGCTTCTTTTGCACCATGCTGAGAAAGAGAGCTGAATGATGTCACTTTCCATCTGGATGTCATATAAGAGTAGGGTCTGAATTGCTGTAGGTGGAGAATTGCTGGTGTGACAGGGTTGAGTTTATATTGAGGGACATAACTTTGTAGCCTGTTTTTTATTAAAAAATCTTATTTATTTTTTATTTATCACAAGTAAATAACACAAATAAATAGCTGTAATACAAAAAAAAATTTAAACACTGTGTCTACATGCAATTTCAAAGAAGTGCCTCGGGGGCATGACAAATAGCTTGGTTTGTGACAGACATATTATATTTTTTATGCTAAAGCTGCATTTAATGTATTTTTTTATTCATTATAATGTACAAAGTAGATCAATGAAAAATGCTTTTAACATGTCATTTAAGTCGACAACCACTATAAAAAAATATGGGGGACTGAAATATTACAGAACGCCAGGAATGACTTAATTATATCTAAGATAATTTTGTAAAACAATATGTTTTGTTAAATGTATAATGTATAAATAGTTCCATCACATCAGCTGAGGCAAAAAGCAATAATGCAGCCATTTCTTCTTGTAGTGTTGATGTGGCTGTTTTGAAAGAATTTGTGTGAAAGGCATCAGGAACTTCTGGGAACTGCACAACTCTGTGTAATGTTTTCACACTTCCATGTGTCGATTTTATTTCTCAATCATTTTTACATTCATTAATTTTATCAGCCTTCATTGTGATCATTTTCTCTTTATTGGTTATACCTCACAATCACAAACAGTCACAACTGGTTCCATTCTTTTGAATTGTGTGGGTTATTGAGCCAGGCCTCCATTCGATTCCTGATTTTGCTCCGCGAGCAAAGGGCAGGAGTGGGCGTGTCCAGCAGGGGAGAAGGAGGGCAGAGAACAACTGTTGTCAGTTAGCTCACAGAATGAAACACGTGATTTTATAGTTTATAAAGTTAAAATGCAAAGAAATAAACAGTAATGTAATGCCCGGCTACATTTGTTATTCGTAATTTCATATACACTTAACCACAATTTATATCATTATAAAGATAATCATGTTCATATAAACTCTATAATTGAAGACTTTTCCCTTAATCCCCTTGTCTGAACCATAGGTCTGAATGCAGGCTCAGTGCAGCAGGCCTCTTGCCCTGTCTATTTCAACCATTAGCCCAGTTGGTAATCTAGAGGATTTAGGCGAACACAACAGCACGGCGATGTGTCTAAATGTGAACAAACTCCTGATAAAAGACAATGTCCGCCATTCTCCAATTCTCGTACTGCTCTTCCGTCAAAAATGCTTGCTGCACACACAGCTTTGCTGTATTGGCCCTGACAGGATCTTAGGGAAAAACATGCAACAAACACTGTGGATCATGATAACAAACACATACGAGCCTTCATAAACGGTGTGATGGTTGATGGGTCAGATGACATTAATCATATGAGACACAAAAAAATCACTGATGTATTCTGATATTCCTATGCGTAAAAGTACAACTCTTAACGATGAAATGAAACGTAAGAGAAAGAAAAGGCGACTCCGACAGAGGGTGCGCCGAGCCAACAAATCAGCTGGACGAACTCTCTGTGAACCCCTTGCTACTTCAGATGACCCTCTTGCTAGTAGTCGAACTCTGAATGAACTCCCAACTTGTACTTTTGCTGAACTTTCTACCGAGTTCACGCACCTGAATTTAAGTGCATAACTATATAGCACATTATAAATCAAGGCTTATATTAAAATGCCTAAATGTTGATTTATATGATACAATGTACTCTTGATGACTATATATCTGTCTTTTTACTGTTCAAGTGATTTAGCATGCTCCTTGAATGTATGATTTAAGTAGTCTGTGCACCTGTGTTTAGGGTTGATTTATGAATACTGTCACTGAGACACTGAGTATAAAAGCTGACATGTACTCTTCAGCTTTGCGCTTCCTGACTTCTGTTCATTGAGGTTGGTTGCCCTTTGTCCGCCAACTGGGGACAAAGTAAGGATTTTGTTTTCTGTTTGTCTTTTGTTTATTCTACTTTTTCACTGGATTTTGTTTTATTAATAAAAGTGTATTTTATTACTTTTCTTCACTGGAGTGGACATTGAATTCATTTTCCAGAACCCATCAAAGTTACCCTGTGTGGTAAAGTATGATCTAATTTATTCTTTTGCAAAATACATTCTTTAAAGACGATCCTTTAACTAAACTCTTGCTAAGAAATATAGCTAAGGGAGGATCCTGATCTTAACTTTGTTTAATTAGGGTGATTAAACAAAGGGAAATCAGCACAATGTACATCAATATTTCTCACATATTATTGTAGCTCAGTTTGAGCTGAATACTAATAAAACACATGTTGGCCAGTTCTGTGTAATAAGTAGCTGAAATCAGCACAGATGTCAGGGCATGTCAAAACATCTCAGGGGTCCCAAAATCAACTCAGACCCCTGAGGGTTAACTACAGGTATAGTATGAGCAGTGTGAAACATAATTACTGATAAACCATACTTCCTGTTATTTGGGGTTTAGTATCATCCAGGGTTAACATGTTCAAGCATGAAAAGCTCTAATATGAAACTGTCTGACTGTAGATATTGTAGAGTGGAGAATCATTTACCTCAGTGTGTCCAGTTTACAGTCTTCAGTCCATCAGAGAGAAGCTTCACTCCTGAATCCTGCAGGTCATTGTTACTCAGGTCCAGCTCTCTCAGCACACAGTTTGAGGATTGTAGAACTGAAGACAAACTCTCACAGCACTGAACAGTGAGAATACATGTGGCCAATTTGAGAACGTAGAACACACATTACTAAAAACCACACTGTTAATGTGATCTGTCTGATGTAACAAAGCAAAAAATCAATAAATCAATCAATCAATCAATCAGGTGTTTAAACTCAGACCTCAGTGTCTCCAGTTTACAGTGTTGACTCTTCAGTCCATCAGAGAGCTTCTTCACTCCTGAATCCTGCAGGTCATTGTTACTCAGGTCCAGCTCTCTCAGCACACAGTTTGAGGATTGTAGAGCTGAAGACAAACTCTTACAAGAATCGGCAGTGAGTTTACATGTCATCAGTCTGAGAAAGAGCACACATTACAAAAAACACACTGTTAATGTAATTTGTCTGATGTAACAAAACAAAAATCAATCAATCAGGTGTTTAAACTCAGACCTCAGTGTCTCCAGTTTACAGTGTTGACTCTTCAGTCCATCAGAGAGAAGCTTCACTCCTGAATCCTGCAGGTCATTGTTACTCAGGTCCAGCTCTCTCAGCACACAGTTTGAGGATTGTAGAGCTGAAGACAAACTCTCACAGAACCGAACAGTGAGTTTACAGCTCTGTAGCCTGTATAGAGGATAAACACAATATGTATGTGTTGATCTGGTGTGTTTAATAGTCTGAAGCACGTCTGACTGTAGTGACTGGTTTAACTTCACTAGTTAGTGAGCACATCTGCTGATTTTAGCTTTAAATAGTATTTATGTCTAGAAAATACAAATGGCTTCCTTCAGATGTTCCAATAGTCCAACTCTTTATGTAACACCTAACACTGCAAAACAGGATTTTTTTAAATTGTTTTATTTATTATTATTTAACAAACAAACTAATGACAATAATCTTCTGTAGCATCTTTAAAGTTGCATCTCAAAGCACTTTTCAGACAAAAATGAAACAGATGCATATGTGACAGAAATATAGAAGATATATAAATATATTCATTGTGGTTTGTGTGTTTTTGTTTCTAAAGATTCCTCCATGTCAGTGATCAGAACTGTCTGCCCTGTAATCTTGCCTGCAGCTCCTCAGCCTTATCCAGCCATGTCCACCATTTCAGTTGTCTCTAGTACAGCAGTTTCAATCTTCTCCAGTACATCAGACACAGTTTCTAGCGCTAACGGTACGTTGTAGCGAGGACATAAACAAGGATGTAAACAACGGGAAATGCTGTTTGGCAATGCTAACATTTCAGCTAAAAATTCTGTGCAAATTCAGTGCAAAAAATGCAGTGTCTCTCTATGAGGACACTTTCCCGGCATTTTACATCTCAGATAACTAACACTCTAAAGATATGAGAATGTTTCATATGAATCACACATGCTTATTCTGAATATATGTGACAGACACTTGTCAGATGATATTTTAGAGAGCAGGCGTGAGCTTCAGCTGTGTCCTCTGTGTCATTTTCTGTCTGATTTAGGCTCATACTGATACGGCTAACAGCTACTCTGACTGATAGGATTTACACATCGCAAAAGTGCGTGCTTGTAGAGCCGTGACACTTTTCCTGGTGACGTGAAGCCAATCTGCAAATCACAGCACAATACATTAGCTGACCAATCAAAGCCTCTTGAGGACAGGCCTTTCAGAGGAACTAGGACATATGACATTTGTCTTCATGTTAGCTAAGTAGCTGTATATAGTCAAAGTCAGATATATAAAAATAAGCTTTTCTACAAATAAAGCATGAGCACACATTGCATTGCATTCTATCAACACAACCAAGCCTTAAAAACACACTCTAGACCCCCCCTTTAAGGACATCCAGGCAGTCTAGAGGTGTTTGAAACATCCAGAAAGGTGGGCTCGCATCATCATGGAGGGTTTCACCAGCTCCACTATAGCTCTGTGCTCCTGCTGTTTATCCTAATCAACTCAACTCAATTTATTTCTAGAGCACTTTCAACCAACCACAATGGCTACCAAAGTGCTGAACATAAAACACAGAATACAAGCAAACATACAAGAAACTAAATACATCAACTCACAACACACAAGTAAAAATTGAAGAAAATAAGTGTTTCAGTGACCTCTGAAAACACTCAAGAGTTGGAGAAGTTCTTAAGGAGAGTGGAAGATCGGCCCAGAGTCTTCAGCTGTGACTGAAAAAGCTCTATCACCCCACATTTCAAGCGTGATTGTGAAACTGGCAAATAGAGTCGATCCTTAGTGTGAAGAGATCTCACGGGTTGGTGTATATTAATTAGCTCAGAAATATACTCAGGGGCCATGGAGGGATTTAAAAACATAGAGCAGTACTTTGTACTGAATTCTAAACTGGATTGACAGCCAAATTAAATCAGATGTAGATCTGCCCAGAAAGAAAAACACTAGATGCTGAAATAGGTATAAAACTCTTTCAAAAAGTGTAAAAATAGGAGCATTAATAGAAACATTTACTGTAATATACAATCTGTCCTAGACATTTCTATTTAAATTTAAAGGAGTAATAAATTATAAGTAACTAATAATGTTTAATTGAAGTTAATTTGCTAATTAAAATAAATGGTTAATCAAGACAGATAAAAGAGGCTTAATGTTGATAATATGATTTAAGAGCAATCAATAGGAGAAGATTTTCCAGCTGAAGTTCATATTGTATTTGAAGATTTGTTTTTTTGGATGGTAAATATTTCAAGTATTGGGTTTCTATTGAGTTTATTTTAGGTAACTACCAGAGGAGGGTAGAAACTTGTTTGTACTTGTGTAGGCTGATGACTATCATATATTGTTTACACCAGAATGCATAAAGGGTTAAAATTAGGGAGAAGATCTTAGGATGGACACTGTCACAATATGTGGGTGATTGAATTATCTGCAACTTCACAAAGATCTAGGTTAATTAAAAGACTTGAGTGGAGACCATTGCTCCAAACAGTAAGATATGATGACTGTTTTTGGTGTTGACTGGATAGAGAATTATTCTGTAAACAAGTACAGTTGAGAAACTATGATGAATAGATGATTGGAGATGGTACCAGAAGCAAATTATGAAGCAGGAACAGTTATTCATTTGTGACGAAAGAAGCACTTCCAAGGATTTGAAACATCAGCAGAAATAAGTTCATAAAAGGTTTGCATTCATAAAGTAATTAAAGTCAAAGTGAATAAATGATCAATAAATAAAAACATCTAAAGGAGTATGAAAAATTTTGAATAAAGCAAAAGAGAGAGTTATGCTCAATTACCAGAAATGGCTGAAAGAGATGAAGATGATCCATCAAGGCCAACGCTCAGTGAAAGATGTGAAAATAATAAACTTAATGAGTTTAATGTGTTAACAAGTGCATTGGTGAATGATGGCATGGAAACTGACAGAAACAGGCATCTAACACTGCATCACATGAACTACTATTGGGTCAACCCTTGCAAGAAACCACATGAAACTTTGCATAAAACCTTGCATATAATCTCACCTATAACCTTGCACATAACCTCTTGGAATGGTTTGCAAGGATGTCTAATGCAGTAGGGACTTAAATAAAGAAACAATTAATTGCCATGTGCAAAGCGATATCTGTGCAGGAAACCAGAAAGGAGCCATGTGAGAGAGCAGTGATACAAGGTCCAATTGGTCCAGCTGATCGAGTCTATCTGTGGATGTTCTGGAAAAAGGAGAGAGCTCAGGAGGAAAGGACCATATCTGGATGAGGGCAAATCCAACAGCTGCCAAAGTGGATGCCATTAATGGGGTACCAATGCCTCAAAGGAGCGAAAGGAAACAACTCCAGCAAGGGAAAGCTGACCGGAAACAGAGGAGCCTGAATATTCCAAAGCTCTAAACTACTAAGTGTAACGTGTGGAAGGAGAAGTTAATCAGAACAAAGTAAAGAGTGATTCTGATAATATGCCTGAATACCACATACAGAAGTGCCACAAGTCAAGGGATGATAATTGCACAACTGCAGATTTCAAAACTCAGACTCTTAACCACACATCTCCATTAACATCTATTAAAGTCAAGTGAAGATGCTGGTAGCTTAGAAGAAGAGAAACAAGGATGAGCAAAGATCAAGATCAACATTTGATGCTTTTTATGTTTGCATATTGAATTTATTTGCATATTGCTTTAATGGTACCTATATATAATATCACTTCAGTATATTCTACATGAGTGTGAAAACCAGCAGCTAGGACTGAACCAACTGAATACTTATGCTTAAAACATTGTTGTCTTTGATGTGTTAAGAGAAAAAAACAGAGTACAGTCTTTTACTTCATTCAAATCAAAAGAGAGGGGAGATGTTTGGCTGGACTTCTGTCAAAGTACAGTGGCATAATCTAGTCAATTGATAACAGCTATGTG